TCACGCATGCGCAGCTCGTATGTGCTTCTTGGCCGTCGCCTGAAGTCTTTGCGGTGTGTTCCAGTGCGACACATGGCCAAGACGAGACGCGAGACGACACAACAGTCGGGGGTCCGTCTGTGTCAGTTCTTTGGAGTCAGATTGGTGTGTCCGGGCCTTTAAAGCTATGTTTGTTCATGTTCATGACATTAAGAGAAAAGTTGAGGGCTTCAGTGCAGTTACATATTGTCCAACTTATACCTTTAAGAAACAATGCAAGAAGAATCCAAGTAGATTTTTTACTCTAGAAGTTCAAATTCCTTTATCATAACCATCTTTTGTAAGTGTTGTAGACTATTTACACACAGCAGCCTAGCATACTGACTGGCATATGAATGGTAGCAAGATAATGTGGAGAGTATGAAGTAGTAAGAATGCTAAATGCATTTACTGTGAATATCAGCATTAATTTACTTAAAGAGCCTGTGACACGAGTTTCCCCCATCATCCAAACCCATCAATTTGAGTAAATATTGTCCCCTTGAAAACCGTTACTGAACTGATTTTGGATATGTGTACTTTGATAACCATTAATCTGCCCTTCAATGTTGACCATTTTCTGGATCTTCTCGGGGATTCTTCAAGTCCCGCCAAATTATGTGTGACGTCATTGCGGGCACAGCGCTCCAGCTGCACCGTTCAGGATCCCAGCATCTGCATGTAAACGCACGATGGCGCACACAGCAGCAAGCTCAGACAGCGATGACAGTTTACTTTTGAACGTGTCTGAGAGCTCATATGAGGCTGAAGGATCGGTTTATTGTATCTGTTAGAAGTTTAGGAATTAGGTGCGTCAATATGGGCGATCATACGGTCATGTAGCCAGTGGTGGACTGGGACTAAAAATCATCCCGGGACTCTCGACCGGCCCACTTCGGTACCGCTAGTAAATTGTCAACAGGGGGAGTGGGGGATGTCAGGGGCGGCAGGGTGCTGTAGATAGTAAATGTAAATATGTAAATATTTGTGTCACTGCATCCTGGTAAAATACAAATATAATGCAATGTCTGTGTCTTTGACATTAGCGTTGCTAGCCACCTGTGCCCTGCACTACGAAGCCAGTTCAACATACCCTGGATATGTTTGAGTAACAAACAAACTAACAACAACAAGCTAACAAACGAGATCTCGCTAAACGGTCCTACGACGCTGGTTATCAACTCGGTAAATCAAGCCAGGGTTTCTCTCTCCAGCTGAGAGCGCGTTCACGTCTAAAACACGAGTGGATCTGACTTTAATTACATTTGACTCGAGTGTTTCGTCAACATAATGTGTTGCTTAAAATAATACTTCTCTTCTGCATACAGTATGTGACACTGTAAGTGTTACACGGCCAGATACCGCTGTAGAAGCTGACTCAGATAAGGAAATATATGATACATTATATGACCGATGATCTGATTGATGATGTAATATGAATGATAAGTGAGACACGTCGGCGTCTTCTCTGCATACGGCAGTTTAAACTGTATTTCCTTTATCCTGTAATATGACTTGAGAGATTTAAACTCCGCACACTGAGTTGATCTCTTTTCTATAGACGCCGGAGGCGGGCAGCGTCAGGTAAAAAAAGTTATTTAGCCTTCCCAAACCTGAACCTCACGCGCCGCCTATGGGGGATGTGCTAGTGACTTATCCGACCGGCCCACTTCGGTACCGGCACATCGGGATTCGTCCCGATGGCCAGTCCGCCACTGCACCCAGCCCAGGTAAACTGTCAACGGGGGGAGCCTCGCTGCGGGGAAACGGTGGACCTGGTGTCCCGATCGGAGTGGGAATAATAATAATAATAATAATCCGTGCATTTTATCCATTAATTTCCCCAACATTGTGGTGAAAAAACCACACGTTTAATCCATGTTGGTGTAGCCTACTACAACTACAAAAAGCATCGGGTGGTTTTCTCATCAGGAAATGCAGACCGGCACAAACAAACGATTTTTAATCATCATTCTCACGATCATTTAATCTATCATATGTTCGCCGAATTGACATGAAAGCACTAATACATGTAGTTTCATCCACTTTAGTTTACAACTACAAAAATAATCGATTTGTTTTAATATCACATCCTACGGGAGGAAATTCAGCAGCTCTCACTACCGATTTTTAATCCTAATGTAATCATCATCTTAAAAGTCAGTCAATGCTTTCCAAAAGCACGAGCAGTGAACTCCAGGCCCACGTGACTGAACTAAAAATTGAAAGAAACAGACTAAGAAATGACGTAAGCTCCATGATCAAAACTGCCAAAAAGAATTTCATCAATGTCAAAACTGAGGAAAACAAAAATAAACCCCGTGAACTTTGGAAATTACTCAATAACCAGCTTGGCTGCAGTAAAAAACTCAAAACGAGATTTTCTAACTTAAACATAAAGACAGATAACAGGCTCATCACAGACAAACTGGATGTGGCCAAGTACTTGAACATTTTTTTCACAAACATAGCCACAACTCTTGTAAATAAATTACCCTCCCACTCAGGGCTTTTTGGAGTATATCACATCATGACCTACTACAAAAACCTAGGGGTACGCAAAGATGATTTCAGTCTAGCAAGGGCAACAACAGCAGAGGTACTCATTAAACTGAGCACCCTCCAACCTAACAAGGCCACGACAATATCCCCTCCAAATTCCTGAGAGACACAGCAACCGCCATCTCACCAGTCATAGCTCACATAATTAACCTCTCCATAAAACAGGGAAAAGTACCCAAAGACCTCAAAATTGCAAGAGTAACCCCCCTGCACAAAAAGGGCAGCAAATTGGACCCAGGCAACTACCGCCCTGTTTCTATACTTACCTCCATCTCGAAAGTCATGGAAAAAATAGTATATGAACAGGTCGAAAAGTACCTCGCGGAAAAGAAACTAATCTATGAATTTCAATCTGGCTTTAGAACATCCCACTCCACTGACACATGCCTTCTTTATTTGAGCGACCACATCAAACAAGAGGTGGATGAGGGCAAGTACTGCGGCATGGTGATGCTGGACCTACAAAAGGCTTTCGACACTGTCAATCACCCCATTCTGATTGACAAGCTAAAAGCAATTGGTTTTGATAAACTATCGGTGAGCTGGATGCAATCTTACCTGGAGGGGAGAGAACAGATGGTGGAGGTAAACGGTACTCTGTCCCCCCCCCTCCCAGTGAGCTGTGGTGTTCCACAAGGAAGCATATTAGGTCCGTTATTGTTCCTAATTTATGTAAATGACATGTCATCAGCATGTGACTGCAACTTGTTCCTGTTCGCGGACGACTCAGCCCTGCTGGTCTCTGACAGGAACAGGTTGCAGGTTGAAAAAACCCTCAGCTCCGAGCTCGGCAGAATCTGCACCTGGCTCGCCGATAATAAATTATCATTACACCTGGGTAAAACAGAGTCCATTCTCTTCGGTTCGAAACATAATCTCAGCAAATCCGACGACTTCTCAGTTGCAGTGGGCGACATTATTGTCACAAGTAAGAAGGAAATTACATACCTAGGATCTATTCTTGAGGCAAACCTCTCCTGTGACAAAATGGCATCCAATGTAATAAAAAAAGTCAATCAAAGAACTAGATTCCTATACCGGATCTCCTCTCTGGTAAACAAAAACACCCTGAAAACTCTGGCAGGAGCACTCATTCAAGGGTACTATGACTATGCTTGCACGTCATGGTACCATAGCACCTCCAAGGCGCTAAAAATAAAACTTCAAACATCGCAAAATAAACTGGTCAGACTACTGCTTGACCTTTCATCTAGAACCCACCTCACCTCTGCCCACTTTGACAACCTAGGATGGCTTAGAGTAGACGACAGAGTACAGCTACTTGCAATGGGCCTGGTCTACAAGATCCACTACACCTCTATGGTACCCATGTACATGTCAAAATTCTTCCCAAAGGTCAAGGAATACCATGATCATAACACCAGAGGGAGCTCCACAAATCATGTGAAACCCAGATTTGGCACAAAAAAGGGGGAATACACGTTTCGCAATTATGCCACATCAAGGTGGAACGCTCTTCCCACAACTGTAAAGGAAAGTAAAACTATACTTACCTTCAAAACCTCTCTTAAAGAGCACCTTCGGGGGAGAGCATTGCAAAACTGGCCCTGGTAATGGTACAAATCTCAACCTGTCGTTCAATGGACAGCTTCCCCCCCCCCCCCATCTATGTATATACTCGCATTTTAGACTCTGTTACTAACTGTATATCTGTAGACTTGGTATGTCTTAAATGTCCGGTTAGGATGTATTAGAACGAAATCTAAAATGAAAATTGTAAATAAGCAATCTGTATGTAAAAAACCACCTGTATGTAAATTGTAAATAAGCCATCTGTATGTCAAATATGTCTTATATGTCTTAAATGACATGATGAATTGGAAATGGGGGACCCTGATGTAAACAAGACGAAAGTCTTTCTCTGGTCTGCATCCCCTTAACAATTGTATGTTTTGAGCTGTACTGTACTGTACCCAATATACAAGCTGTTAATAAACTTTTCAATCAATTCAATCAATCAATCAATCTTCACCACGATCATTTATGTTTATGTTCGCCGAATTGACATGAAAGCACTGACAAATATGAATATACTGTAGTCAACTTCATTAAAACGTTATTAACGTGCCTAAACTCAGTAATTCACCATTTCTACGCATGACAACACACTTTGTCCGTTTTTGGCTCTCTCGCCGCACAGTGAAGCGTTCCCGCATTGACGTCACGTCCGGCTTCCCCCAAAACTTCAAAATGAGTCGAAGGAATTTCCCCGCGATGTTCGAAATTATTGATATTTAACGGAACGGTATCGCTTTTTCTTTTTTAAACTGACGTTTCGAGATTACTAGTAGCCCAATATTTCATTGCACAACAGTTGTTGGGATGCTGTCACAGGCTCTTTAATGCTTGAATGAGTTATGAATAAACGTACTGTATATATGTGGCTTTGCTGTCTTTAGGCAAGGGCTGAAGTGCTCTAAGGATGAACTGACTGCCTCAGCCTTTCTCACTGTCCAGCTGGACGATTCCATGGGTGGAGCAGCTACCCAGGTAAGATCTTCACAGTGAAAATTATCTATATGGTCTTATCATCTTATTTAATAACTTTCTGCTGTCATTCAAGCAGAGATGGAAGAAGTGCTCAGGTTATTTACTTAACTAAAATCAATACTGCAGTGTTAAAATACTCACTTACAAGCATTCCTGAATTCAAAGTATCAAAAAGTAATAGCATCAAAATATACTTCAAGTTTCAAAAGTACAAGTACTCGTTATGCAGAACGGCCCTTTTAATTAACATATTCATATTGTAAGAATTATTGGTGCATTCATGTGTTCATCACTTCAATGTTGCACTTGAAAGAGTGAGGTTTATCTTAAATTATTTGTTTACGTCAAGGTAGCTTAACCTTTAGTAATACTTGATGTATCATTTGAATTATATTTTGTATTATTAACAAAAATATGAAAAATAACTAGCAACTAAATATATCAAAAATGAATACAGTAAAAAGTATAACATTTGCCTAAAAAATGTAGTTGAGTAAAAGCATAAAGTAGCACAAAATGAAAATACTCAAGTAAAGTTCTTACGTGTTGTACTTCAGTAACTTGAGTAAATGAGTAGTTATTAAGGCTAAGCTGCTGCTGGGTCTTGGCAGGTTCGTGTCACTCAGGGCCAGGAACCCTCTCATCTCGTGAGCATGTTCAAGGAAAAGCCTCTGGTGGTCCACCTGGGTGGGACGTCCCGCGAATGTGGCGAGAGCAAGCCTTGCTGCACGCGACTCTTCCATATCCGCCTGAGCTCCACCAAAGCCACCCGGGCTGTTGAGGTCAGCTACTCTCATCACGTTAAATGTGAAATGTTAAACTAAGGCTGAAAGGATTCTCACCTTCCTCCATCTCTTTGTGTTTCTCTGACCCAGGTGGAGCCCACTGCCTCCTCCCTGAACACCAATGATGTGTTTGTGCTGAAGACGCCTGATTCCCTGTTCCTGTGGAAGGGTAAGGGGGCGGCCCCGGAGGAGATGGGAGCAGCTCAGCATGTTGCCACCATGCTTGGAGGAAATGCCACTGTGGTTGAGGAGACCAAGGAGCCGAGTGAGTGCTGAAGAAAGAGCTTTAATCTCTGCAGGGTATCTGTGTCAAATATTTCCTGTGGAAAACTGTGGTTTTCTTCTTGTTGTCAGAGGCTTTCTGGTCCCCACTGGGTGGGAAGAAGCCGTACCAGACCTCCAAGTCACTGCAGAGGATGGTCAAGCATGCAAGACTGTTTGGCTGTTCAAACAAGACTGGCAGGCTGATAGTGAGCAACTAAATTATCTTCTGTTTCATTCAATAAGGACAGGTTGTTTATTACCTCTGCAAAGAAAGTAACTTTTTTGATTTGTTTGATTGATGTCAGCAGGATAACTGAAAACTTTGACCATATTTTCATAATTTTTGGATGAAACGTGTTAGCATGGGCCAAGGAAAAGCCAATTGCATTTTGGCAAGAATCTAAATTATGGGCGGTGTAGAGACCCTTAAGAGGCTAAGTTTGGTTCTTGTTCCATCCAACTTAATAAGAAAACGAAACAAACAATTACAGCAAGACCAACTAAAGGAAACTGAACCAAATCACCCTCTTTGTGCATCACACAAGCCCGGCACACAACAACGGTGGACTCAATACCTTAAACCACACCCATGTGACAATTGCAGGTAGTGACATATTACAATGGTGTGTGGTGTACAAAAAAATGATAACATTTGAAATAATCAACAATGGCTAAACAAACATTATGGCTCACACAGGCGGAAACTCTAATATTTAACTTTCATTAATATTGCGAGATAGTGAATTGACTTTGGGGAGATACACGCGTGCATGCGTTTATTTTTACACATTTTTCTACCAATGAAAACCTGCCACTTTGTAAACACCCACTTCTCAATATTTAGGCGGAGGAGGTGCCCGGTGAGTACTCACAGATTGATCTGCTACCCGATGATGTCATGATTCTGGACACCTGGAATCAGGTATGCTGCATTCCCTTTTGATAGAAATTCAGTGTCATTTCTCGCAGGTCTCATTTGTATTCGTTAGCTTTTGGCTAAATCTCTTTGGTTCTTTCTCCCACCAGCTCTTTCTTTGGGTTGGAAAACAAGCCAATGAAACCGAGAAAAAAGGATCACCCACGATTGGTAAGACAAACAGAGCTCTTGATGATAAATAGAAAGGAAACAAGAGAATTTGTACAGAGATTAATCCTTTTTTCTGTCAGCTCAAGACTATGTGAAGGCGGATCCCTCTGGCCGAGAAGGAGTCCCCATCTCTATCATCAAACAGGGGGAGGAGCCGCTCTACTTCACCGGCTGGTTCCTCGCCTGGGACTCCAACTTGTGGGAGAAAGAGACTCTGGAGTGCACTAAAGCACGTGTCAGCAATAGTGGAAAAAAAGCTAAGGAATAGCTGCAGTATACTTACAAAGATTCACTACTTCTCATGTATCGTCAAACTTGAAAGAATAATCAACCTTTAAGGTGCTGTGAGCTTTGAAATGATGTTCTGCGTGGTTGGAGGGGCGTTATAAAACTGCAATAAAGATATACCATTTTAATATCTGATGCATAGATTACTATATCATTCACTGCATCAAAGATATATTAAATCAAACCTTTGCTGGGAACATTTCTGTCATTTTTGTTGCAGCTTGTTTTCATCCTGTCCTATCTGTTAAGATCATGTATACTGTTTACTGTAAGAGAATATTTGAATCTGATCTGTTTATAGAGCTTCTTATTGTTTCTTAGAATCTGTGATACTGCAAACATCTGCTTGTAGTCACTCAAGGACTCCTCTGTAAGTTGAGGTCACAGGTCAAACGCTTCTCCTATATCCGTGGGGGAAGGTTGAGACCTAGCTGCATCTCTTTGAGACAAGGAGATTATTGTCTCGCATTTAATAGCTAATTAGGTATACGCGGGCTTTCTGTGGGCCGGCCTCTCCTCGTGTAGCAGCGATGTTTGTGGCTTTGGGGGCAGAGATAAGCAAGGTGGACCACGGGACGGTGGGAAACTAAGATGATCTCCCGGCCGTATGTAATTAATGTACTGTGATCAATAAACTCTCAGTGCTTTGGCTAATCGACGTTCCAGACTCCTTCATTCTACCTCAACATTGCAACAACAGAAGTTTACCTTCACAATTTGGCGTCACGGAACAGGATACCGAGATTTCTTCAGAAGACTGGTAAGTGCTTTTTTTCAAATCTATTTGAACAACTGCCTTACCAGACTCTGTGATTGACGGTATCAAAATTACTTGTGAAACTGCGCGAGTGCAATTTGTTTTGGTCTCTCCACTGTACATTTGAAGGCTTAATCATAACCTGAGGAATCGGTGTCTGAGGGGGATTCTATCCTGGCCGGTTTTTCCTGTGATTGCTGCTGGGGCAAGTGCCAACAAAAGCAAGCACAGCTCATGTATAAAACAATAAGAATATTTGGGGCTAATAAATAACCTCGGAACATCGACTTTTAACGATTTCCGCTGTGTGTGGTTTCTAGAATTAAATTACTGGACAATCACACACTGCAAATATTCGGAGAGACCTTAAGGAAAGCATCAGCAAGGTGGAACCTCTGTTTCAAAAAGCAATGTGAGGATTTGTAATTGAAACAAATTGCCGAATTCTGGAGATTTCAACGGGTTTAAATCAGACCAATCCGTTTTCGGGTGTCTGCTCAGGCCTGCACGAGGGAGGGCGAATTCCCCTCCCCCCTGTGGTGAACGGCACACGAGGAATGTTTAAGAACACAGACTTGTATTTTCTGTTAATCACACCATAAGCTCAAGAACTAAATTGAGCTATTAAATGGGAAGGGTGGTGGCAGAATATTACATTCACACTGTGTTTAATAAACTAACGGATTATTGAATTGGATGTTGTTTTAAAAAAAAAAAAATAAATAAAAAAAAGTACTGAATTAATTAAAACAATCTCTGCTCTCGGTCGGTTGAGCAGTTTTACCACTACATTTGCATAGTGGTTTTGATTGAGAATAAGGTAGTTTATTGCTCATCAACAGATTACTAGTAACTATGGCTGAGAAGAGCCCATATTAAACAGATATTTCAGTGCTCCCGTTGACGTTTCCGTAATTTCGGACTAAATTAAACTGGATGATTTTTTTTGGCCAGGGCGCTGATTTTGTTGCGAGTACATGTTTGTTTGTCTAATTGCAGTGTTTGTTTTATTGTACTAACCGTTAAACATGGGTAATACTGCCTCCACAAACGATTCAGTTGGTAAGAGGAAAACCATTTCACACACAAAGACACTTAAAAAACACCCAATTGCAGAAAACCACTACACGCATTTGTTTTCTCCAAACATGCCGTCTGGAATTGTCGGAAGAACTTTGGATTGGTCTAAAGTTATGCCGTTTACATCGTTACTTTGCGAACACTCACAACAGATTAATCAGAAAGGATTGATTCAATTTGATTGGCCTCTGACAGGTAGTTTTGATATGGCCGTGTTGTGGCAGGCATTTAAACTGGTGGAAGATAATTCAAATTGTTCATGGGATCAGAAATACATGACAGAATGTGTGAAAGCCTGGATGACAATGGCAGAAAAAAGGGGTTATGAGGAGCGGAAGAATGCAAAATCTGTTGGCAGCGAGCGAGGCTCCATTGAGCTCAAGACGCTGATTGATAAAGTTTCTCAATGTGCAAAAAGTTGTCATTTGCTTAGCCTAGAGGCTGCTTTTGATGTAAGATCAGAAAACATGTCCAGATTCAGGGAAAGACACGGTGAGAATGTTCCAGACATTGCAAAATCAATATTTTTTGATTGGATTAAAAGATGTGGTAAAACTCCAACCCCATCTCAGCTCATTTGTATTTTGACAGACGCAGGGCTGTTGGACGGAAAGCAGGCTGTATCTCTCTGTACGAAAATAATTCCCGCGACAGAACTCTCAAATCCCGTTGCGAGAAACTCCGATGATGATCTGTTAATGACAGCTGCAGCTATCATGAATAAAAATGGTTTGAGATATCACACAGAACAATATGGCGAATTAGATTCGGCACACGCCGAGCAGAGTGCAGCAGCGGGGGAGGGGAATGTTTCACATGGCAGTCCGCTATTGACCCCCATTCCTGGCACTCCGCCACTCCGTTTACAAGATTACACAGGTTCGCCATACGGCACCAGTTTTCCAAAACATGTCCAGCGTAAAATGTACACGACAATGCAAACATCTCAGGATAATAATTCTGAAGAAAGTGTGACCGCCCCGAAAATTCTGATAGGAGATGTTCCAGTTTGCAAACCCTGGACACCCGCTGAGGTCATTGATGTCACTAACCACGCTCCCAGTCCCACTAAAAGTCCAGATGAGTATCTGTCATGGTTGACTAATGTTTGTTCAGTTTATAACTGTTTGGTTCATGATGTTAAACAGCTGATAATCTTAACATACAAAGCAGATTGGCCCACGTGCAGAGACGAGTTTAAATTTCCTGAGTGTACGGCCGCAGGGGACTGGCCCACGACACAGACGCGAGACATGTGGATACAAAGCGTCGCTGCATTGGCTATCAGAGCATGCGCTAAAACTCACACAGATTTCTCCCAAGTGACGGCTTGTGTACAAGACCCAGCAGAAAATGTCCCAGAATTTATCCAGCGTTTCATGACAGTATGGGACAATAATGCGGGAATTAAAAGAGAGGGTAATGATTTGTTTGCCATACAGACCTTGTTACATAATTTAATCCCAGAGACAGCTCAAGCCTACATGATGTCAACTCCGGATTGGCAAATTAAATCTTGGAAAATGACTATCGCCACAATGCGTGCGTTGCATAGGAGCCAAATATTTCTTACTCCCAGAATTTCACAACTGCTTCAACAATTTCCTCAAAACACCCAGGCTTATCAAATTCAGGGACAAAACCACACACAGTAGTATCAAAATCAGGGGAGATCACAGGATTATCATAATAAGAGCAGACAGCAGCAGAACAAAAATCCCAAAAAGTTGATGCCATGTCATGTTTGCGGAGCAACGGATCACTGGGCAGGACAGTGTGGTAAGCGGTGGGGGGTCCAGCAGCACACACAGCCCCCCCTCACACAGCCCCCCTTTTCCCAGCCCGCACTTCCCCCTAACCTTCCCCAGCAGTCCGGACATCTGGCATTAACACAGCCTCCACGGTATGACAGACAAACTCAGCAGGAGCAGAACGCTCAACAAAGTGGATTTAATAGAAGATAGTGGTGCCAGGAAGATATAGGATCAGATTCACAGCATTTCCCCATTCAAACAGCAACAATTCGCCTTTCCAATAACCCGCGTGAAGATCCGATTATGCCCGTTGATTTTAGTGGTACGGCTGTAGATATTTTGATTGACAGCGGAGCCACCTTGTCTGCCGTGCGTACTAAGGAGAAAGTGTGTGAAGCAACCAATACATTTGTCACAACTATCGGTGTTGCGGGAATTCTATGTCCGAACCCATTTCAGAGACCACTAATGTTTCAATTAATGGATCAAACGTGCAACACTCTTTCATTATTTCAGATGGAAGTCCTATTAATTTAATGGGCAGGGACTTACTATGTAAATTACAGGCAACAATACATTGCACTTCAGACGGATTGTTTTTGACAATTCCTGACAGTAAGGTCTATCAGGCTGTCCAATTCATTCAATCATCGCGAGACAACCTTTATTGTTGGTCATTTCCAGATTTCAACATGATTTCTGTTTTCTCCACAACAGGGATTCAGAAGATTGCTAGCATTTCTCCGGTTTGTGCGTCTTTAATGTCTCTTATGCGACCTGTGTTGAATTGTCATTGCATAGCTGCCTTTAATCCGTCAGATGACTACGCGCGATCAGTAAGAGGTTTTTGCAACAAATCAGATCGGTTGATGAGTGAACAATATTTATTCATCGGCCGACAAGGATGTGCATTACCACTAAGGCTGACACAATCACAACACGGCTATCATGTTGAAGAAACCCTCCCCTACATAACGGTGGCTGTTACGCCAGGCAGTAACCCAAAGGAGGTGGGGGCCATGGCAGCCCGCTGCCAGGTCCAGCTGGAAGCCTCACTTTCCCCTCTCTCACACACACACACACAGGCACCTAACGTAATTAACTTTGGAGAGGAGCATTTCCTGCTGCGTCTCGCGGAGCCGATTGCTCTTCCCCAAAGCACCTTCCTTCATTTACAACCGAACCCCCCCACAGAGTATGGCCCCCCCTCAGATTTTTCAGAAGTCCCGGCTACATTATGGGCAAAACACAAGAATCATGTGGGTTTTGTTGCCTCAGCGCCTCCACATCGAGTAACACTTAAAGCCAACGCCAGATTGCCAGCTATCAGACAGTACAATTTGCCCCATAGAGCCATTTTGGGGATTGAAGGAGTAATCCAATCTTTGCTTGATCAGGGCGTGTTAATTTACACAACAAGTCCCTGTAATACTCCAATGCTACCCATACCTAAACACAATCGCCCTGATGAGTGGCGCTTTGTCCAGGATTTGCAAGCTATTAATGCTATTGTCATTCCGACAGCTCCAATTGTGCCGGACACCAATTCGATTTTAGCTTCTCTGCCCCCGGACTCTAAGTACTACACAGTGATTGATTTATGTTCAGCATTTTTCT